TCTCCTGTGTACATCCAGCTTCCATGTTCCATCAGCCATTTGAACCATCCCTTTGTTTGCAAGACACCTCCAGGTACTTGGCACTAAGTATTCGTCTTTCAGAGCATCCAATCCTTTATTGACCAATGAAACATCCCGACCAATCTCCAGCTTGAATACCCCGGCTGTGTCTTGCATCCCTGCCATGCCGTGCAGGTATATCTCGAGGTTATGGTAGTTCCTAAAGTTGAGAGACCGTTTGAGGTATGTCGAGTTCAATGTATTTATCTGGAGTTCTTCGCCTACTTCTGTATAATATAAGAGAGGATAATGTGGTGCGACATCCGGAACATTTACTATTCTTAGGATGCTTAGTTGTTGGAGTGAGTCGACAAGTTTTTTGAAGTCTTGGTCCCCAATTCGAGGAGTCCCGAAAGCAAAAACTGTGATAGGAACTGTCTTTTTCTGAAGACCTGTATTGATCCTGTTTTTTCTGTTATGGACAAGATCTGCAGCTGCTAGAGTTGACAGTACTCCACCCAAGCTATGGCCTGTGAAAGTGATGCTTACTTCTTCGTTCTTGTAAACTTCTAGCAATCTTAGGAGCTCTCCTTGTACCTAAAACCACAACGAAGGCACAATGCCATTAGGAGAAAGGACGAGAAATGGAAGTAAGGTTGTTGTGATGGGCCTAGCAGGTTTTGACCTAAACTGAATGCAATGGTGAAGAGAAAGGTGAAGACCTGTTCTTGCGCACTAGTCTTGTCATAAGGCGAATGAGAATCAGAAGCGGTGTAGATATTGAGCCAGCCACTTCCAATTTGAGGCACATCTTTGGGGTCCGTTACTGGAAAGACTGTGACAGCTGACTCAAGCGGAAAATCGAAATCGTTAGCCCATTCGTATGGCTGAAGAGTTCCTCTCCAAGCTACAACAATGTCTCTCCTCCCTAACATCGCCTTTCCCTCGTCTGTAGCAACCGCAATGTAACCCATCCAGTTAGTCTGCACTCGTGTTGCATCCTTAGACAAAGACTTGACAATGAAACAGATTGGTAGCTTTATTGAAGCTGTTGCGTAGATGTACTTAGTCACATTGTACCTGAATATCAATCATCGGTGCGTTTTACTTTGTCGAAACAAAGATGAAACAATTTAGATTTATGGCAAGTACCTAAAAGGGTTGGCTTTAAGGAAGCCAGTTCGAGCAAAGATTTGTTTCTTGGAGTAATAACAATCACCAGCGTATCTGGACTTACGGTCCCAGTTAAAGGCGTCGTAACCAACCTGAGCCATCTCACCGTAGTGAATTATGTAGCGACGAAGATCTGGGTCAAGTGGATCAAGCAGGCCGTGCCATTTGTTTACGCCGCTTAGCTCTTTCCATCTCTTGGGTATGCCCTCCAACATGTTTGCCTTAGTTTTTTTCACAAACCTTTTCCCTCTTGCTCTTGCATTTTGGATAGTAACATTGCTCCTTGTGTGAAGAAATTGGATAATGCGTGAAGGAACTGGTCCTTAATGCATGGCACTTCACATAAACAGTGCCGATTTAAGTTTTTGTTAAGTGTACGCATGTTCTATTTTGTAGGATCAAAAGACTTAAAACAACTTTTAAGGTATAAATTCGTTGATGATAACTGTTAATCAACACTTAAAAAACATGTATTGTTAGTTACATAGAAATTAAGTTACTCAAGGGCAATCCCATCATGTCTGTCTAATCTGATTCGGTTTAACTGAACCGGAAACATCTATCCGGAAACTGAAGCAGGGCCAATATGTCGTGTGGGTGAAATCTTGGAAATGTGTCGCATCTCTGATCAATGGTTTGGCACCTGAAATTGCATTCTCAAGAAATAGATTTTGCAACAGACTCATCTGAAAAACAGAAAATTCACCATCAAATCCTTACTGGTACGCTTTGCCAGAACAATTTGTTCAGTGTCTGAATCCTCCTGCCTCAAGACTATCATCTTCATTTTCCCACATTCTTTCCTGTAGATGAACCTTTCTGATACTCACTGCATGATCCTAGCATCATCTACAGTAAACTTCTCTTCCTGAACAATAAACATGACTTCTTCCATATTCATGATTTCTCTTTCTTTCTCAAGGAACTACTCATGTCACATTTGAAGGGGAGGCAATGGTTTTCTGGAACCTAAAGAGGAAGCAAGTCTTGAACCGCCTTTGAGCAGAGTTTCTCAGACAGTGATTCTGACTGTCATGAACTTGATTCTAAACATATATTCGAAGTATCATAAACCATACGTAATAATGAAAAGCAGTTAAAAACATCATGGTAAGAATTACAAGTGCTGCAATAAGTATTTAAGTACCTGGACAATAATTTCTTCAACCTTCAAGCACAGGGCAGCCTCAAACTTCTGTGTTGCATATTGGATCTCTTACGATTCCAGGGTAGAAACCGTATCTACAAGATGAATTAATAATGATTTGTTATATCAAAAAACAATGCAACTTTGTACCGTAATTAGACTAAAAACACACAAAAATCTACGACTAACTCTTCAACCTACGTATCTGCATATTGTTTAGGAAGAGACAGAAGGAAACTTGTCCCACTAAAACTGCAACAAACACAAAACCTGTGACCAAGAAAGCAACCACGGGACTGAAGCTTATATACCAGAAACCAAACTCATTTCCCAAACTCCAACTTAAAACAAACAAAAATGCTGAATATACTTAGAAATTCTAACCTGACCCTTGTCGTTTTGATGTACTTTGTCTTGATAGCTTCAAGGCTATGTTCCGTCAATTCCTCTCTGTACGACCCACACAAAACCCTGAAGCAGCGGTTCGAGAAGTGGCTTAAAACCTATGGGAAATTATATGGAGGAAAGGAGGAGTGGATGATACGGTTTGGGATATACCAGTCTAATGTCCAGTTGATAGACTACATCAACTCCCTCAACTTACCCTTTAAGTTAGCGGATAACAGATTTGCGGACTTGACCAATGCTGAGTTTAAGGCCCATTTTCTCGGGTTGAACACGTCTTCCTTGAAGTTACACCCGAACCATAGGCCGGTTTGTGACCCAGCAGGCAATGTACCAGCCACTGTGGACTGGAGGAAACAAGGTGCTGTGACTCCTATTAGAAATCAAGGAAGATGCGGTATGAAAATTTAAGTTTGCAAAATTTATTTTATGATAAGACTTTGCAAACATTCATAACTCAACTGATGACAATCTGATTGCGTTTTCTTTTTCTTGTACAGGAGGTTGCTGGGCGTTCGCTGCAGTGGCAGCTATTGAAGGCATCAACAAGATCAAAACAGGGAATTTAGTATCTCTGTCCGAACAACAACTCATAGATTGTGATACCGGTACTTACAACAAAGGCTGTAGCGGCGGATTAATGGAAACAGCATATGAATGGATCAAAACCAATGGTGGACTCACCACCGAGACTGACTACCCATACACAGCCACAGATGGTACCTGCGATCAAGAAAAAGCAAAAAATAAGGTAGTTACAATAACAGGACACCAAAAGGTAGCAGCTGACGAGGCGAGCCTACAAACCGCTACTGCTCAACAACCAGTATCAGTTGGAATCGACGCTGGTGGGTTTATTTTTCAGCTCTACTCTTCTGGTATCTTCACAGGTTACTGTGGAGCAAATCTCAACCATGGAGTCACTGTTGTTGGATATGGTGAAGAAGGCGGTCAAAAGTACTGGATCGTAAAGAATTCATGGGGAACTGGTTGGGGTGAAGAAGGCTACATTCGGATGGAACGTAATTATAGTGAACCGACGGGTAAATGTGGTATTGCTATGCTGGCAAGCTATCCCCTGCAGTGAGTCCATGAATCTCGAGAAGCTTTCGAACCTTTTCATTTTCGATAACAGAAAATTAGTATGACAACTCTCTGTGTATGAGAATCTGCAATACCGCAGCTAAAAATAATTACAGTTGTAAAATAAAGTACTAGAGATAATTGAGAACCCAGGTATTGTTAACAAGATTTCAAAGATAAGATGCGTTTATAAGAGAAACATGCGTTTATAAGAGAAACATGTTGTAAAATAAAGTACTAGAGATAATTGAGAACCCAGGTATTGTTAACAAGATTTCAAAGATAAGATTTCAAAGATATAATACCTGTTTTTGCTTGAGCCACTGATACTTTTCTTCTAGAAGCATCCCGTTTGATAACCTGCTTCTTATAACAGCAGGCTTGCATAGAGTCTAGTGATATTGAACAAATACAAGGTTCTCATAGAGGAATGGCAACAAATGGCATAAGTCTGCCAAAGGTCTGATTATGCTATCACATTCTTTCTACGCTATTATATGCTCATTTGACACTACAAAAATACTCCACAACAGCTTTCAGAAGCTTGCAGATGGACTGCATAATTTATACAAGATATGAAGACAAACATATGATAACTGCTATAAATCAAAATCTGCTTAATAAGAAACAACAAAATATTCCCAAGTTTGGGGTATGAATTTCATTCCAGTATCGTAATTCGTAATGACAGCTATTCTTACAAAATTTTAACACCAATCTGATGATTACAGGGAATACCTAAGACCTCAGTTCCGAAAGCCTTTGTCTAACAGTACAAGCAAGCTTCCATTCACCGATGCTAATCAGACGCTCGACCACTTTTTGCCTAACCTTGATATATGGTATGAACCCTCTATCAGTCATTTTCATCACCATCTTCCCTGCCAAAATGTATTCCCTAACCTCTAGGCAACCCTCAACTACTACCTCATAACTCTCAAATTCCACAGGGTAATCTCGACTTTCTACAAACTCGATCAACTCGATGGCTTTCCAAATTTCCCTGTTGGCTCTCAAACCTGCTGCTACTTTTGTCAGCATCCCTTTCCGTGGAGAAATTCCAGCTTTACTCACCATTTCCTTGACAATCTTCACCACATCGCTAGTCTTTCTAGCCAAACACATTGAATTAATCACTGCCCCGTAACTTTCCACATCAGGAATACAACCAGCTGCACTCATTTCCTCCATAACTTTAACCGCCTCATTCAACTTATCAACAGCACACAGAGAGGACACTAAATAATTGCAAGTTCCAGTATCAGGACTATATCCAATCAATTTCATCTCATTAAGAATGTCTGCAACAGACTGGGATCCTCGTCGACGTTCAAGCCAAGCATTAGACAGAAGGAGGTGAGTCTGAGGATTAGGAAGACATCCAGAACGAAGCGTACGTTGGAGAATTGCAAAAGACAAAGGAAGTGGATCAGAACTCTGAAGGCAGTAAGTAAGAAGGCTGGAGTAAACAATCTTGGGCAACGAACGAGGTCTCACGGGCACAAAACTTTGGAGGATTTCGTCAATGACTCGGATTCTATGATGATGTTGGAAAGCAGAGAGAAAAGAGAACAACTTTGAGTTTTGGTAGGGTTCACTGAGTGAAACAACAAGGTCAGGGATTCGAAGATACTCCTTTGTTTCAACAGCACATTTTATAGCCTTCTCAACCCCTTCAAAGGAAGAGATTGACCGGATAAATGGAATGCAAACATCAAAGGACCGAGAATAAGCAAGAGGTTTTCGCAAATGTGTCAAGCGAAATGCCATTCGCAAACCTGGAACAGAATGAACAGTATTGGTTAGAAGGTCGATGATAAATGCTCAATTAGCCTCTTAAAAAGACCATTTTTATTGAAAGAAGTATATTTTCTACAAATCAAGGAGCTTGGGGAAACCATGCAAGAGCTGAGATTCCACAGAAAGACATACCTGAATGCCTTTTAGAACATTCCAAGATAAACCCAGGAAGGACTATCAGGTAACTGGAGTGAGAACGAGGATGAGAGAGATTTTTCCTCCACAGGGGAATATCATCGAACGACTGGACGGCAAGAATTCAAAACGACTTGAGGATTCAAAAACCGGATCAAACTGAGTAACAAATGGCGGTAGATTGATCCGAAACACCCACCAGCTCCGATCAAACACGTCCACCAAATATTTGATGTGTAGAAGAATATGATGATTTGAAGAAAAGATGGGGAAAGCAGGAATCTCTTTCTTTCTTAGTAGACTTTGCGTTTTGATATATTAGCTTTTCTGTTGTGTTTGAGGTTTTAACGTGGTTTTAAACCGAACCGGATTTATTCAAAAGGTTTACGTTTAACCGGAAACCAGTCGATTCAACCCTTTTTTTTGTGGCCTCGTTAACAAATTTTAATCCTATGAAATTCAGGATTAACGAAACGGATAAAAATGTTGAAAAAATTGTCTCAGTTTTTTTTTTTTTTTTAACACTGCATTTTA